TACATATGATTAGAATACTTTCGTTGTGTATTTGTCTCTTTAATCCGATTTTCAGTTCGGTAGACTATCATATACAGCATTCAGGTTATGAACTTCTTTTATTGGTTTGTCATATGCATTTCGGACTCAATTGTAATTTAAGTCCCTCTTCAGTACAAACTCAGTAAAGAACATACAAATTTTCTTGAAAAAAGTTGTAATTATAAAGGTTTTCATGAACATTTGTAAAGTGTGCAACGTATTAATGTGAATATGTAGTTGAAGTGTTTTTTAAATGGCTGTATTTTTAATCTTTTCCAACGTTACCAATTATACACCGAGGTTTTTAGAAAACAGAATGTGAGTTTGTACTGAAGAGGGACTTAAATTACAATTGAGTCTGAAATGCATATGACAAACCAATAAAAGAAGTTCATAACCTGAATGCTGTATATGATAGTCTACCGAACTGAAAATTGGATTAAAGAGACAAATACACAACGAAAATAGCAGCAGCCATAAGTGATTTTCTGAAAAAATACTTATTCAGTCTATAAAAGCACCAGATACATGTAGTTCAGGTGATTTCCATCTCTTGTTGAAGTAGGTTGATATCACAGATGGAGCCAATTTCAAAGAAGGTCGCAATCGCAGATATTACAGTTGTCCATTTCAACCATCAAAGTTCATAAGAAAGAATGCCAGAAGGTTGAAATTCTTGAGCGATCTTGAAAAGCATAGATAAGAGGTTGATTCCATAGTTTTGGCTGGACACGAATTATGCTGGTGCAGTAGAACAATTACAGTTTCCACAGCCAGAGGAAGAAGGCTTCCTTCCTAAGCGGATTAATGAAGACAACATACAGGATCCATTTATGATTGCCACTAGTTTCAGACGTACTGCTGTCGACACAACCTAAGGCCATAGATTGATGGATTTATCTCATTATTGGAATTCCATGCCCTCTTTTATTCCGACTATGGATGATTCTGAGTTCTTGAAGACGTATAAGAATGCTTGAAGAAGGTGAGCAGAAATAGCTGACTGTCCCCAAGATAACTTTTCATCTGATCAGCATTTAGTTTTAGATATTGTTGATAAGCAAATAAAGTCTTTAACACTTCGGTCTGTTTGTTGTGAGAAGAGATTGGTTATTCAAGGTAAAGCAGGGTCTGGGAAAAGCACTGGGATAAAGGAAATTGTTAAATGGGTCAGTTTAGCTATAGGACCTGATGCTATAAAGGTTTGTGCCCCCACTAGAGCAGCAGCGGTCAATATTGATGGCTTTACGATCCATTCTCTTCATCTTCCTATCGTTAGTATGAAATTTCGATCTCTAAATGGAGAAGCAGCACAGAGATTCCAGAATGAGATGAAGTCGCTCAAATTCATCATCATCGATGAAATGCCAATGATTGGTGCAAGAATGCTTTATATGATTGAGAGAAGATTCAGGGAGATAAATCTCGAGAAAGATGAGCCTTTTGGTAGATTCTTTATCTATTTGTTTGGTGATTTTTGTCAGCTTCCTCCTGTTAAAGATACTCCTCTCTACTTGAGTGTTTTTTGTGATGTAATGTCCCAACAATGTAGATTTGCATTTGATTCTTTTGAGAAGTTCATTGAACTTGTAATTCTCATAGACAAAATAGCACAGATAGTTTCTTCACAGATGTCTTACAACATCTAGCTTTGTGTGATTTCTCTGATACAGATCTGAACATTCTGATGACAAGAAATCGAGCCTATTTATCCAGAGATGAACTTGATCAATTCCAAACGGCAATAGAGCTATATCCAACAAATGAGCAAGTTAAACAAAGCAACAAAGACTACTTGCAGTCAACTGGTGCCCTGTTGCTTATATAGCATCTGAAAACACTCCAGATATTGCCCTGCCTTTGTCCAAAGATGACTCAGCTCTTGGTCTCTCCAAGTATTTGAATCTCTCAGTTAATGCCAGAATCATGCTGAGAGTCAACTTATGGGTGCAAGGAGGTCTCGTCAATGGTTCACTAGGAACTATACGCTACATTATATATGCTCCTAATGCTCGCCCTCCAGCTCTTCCTCTGTATATTTTAATGGAATTTGATAGCTATCAGAGACCTTTCATCTATGGTAATCTGTTTCCAATAATCCCCATAACATGCTCTTTGAACAATGGCAGTATATTGCGATCCTGTGGACAGTTTCCCCTTACCTTAGCATACTCGATGACTATACATAAATCACAGGGATTAACTCTTTGAAAAATCAAAATAGATATAGATAAAAAAAGAGACAGCTATTGGTCTTACCTATGTTGCATTGAGTTGAGTGAAAAAAATAACTGACATAGTATTTTTAAAGAGTTACAATAAAGATCGCTACAAGTCAATCTGTAAGTCCAAGGCTCATAGAATTTTATGAGACGTTGGCATAGCAATTAATTAATGGCTTATGCTACCCTTATATTTGTACCTTTAAATGATCCAGTAGAAATTAAATATATTGTTGAGAACGAATGATTCTTTGTCTCTTTTTTCCCTCATAATCTAGAAAATGAAGATGCGAGCAGCCTCGCTCTGACTAAACGTTGATACAGCGTTACTTAACTAGTTTAAGTTTAGTTAAATTAAATTTCCTGTTTTCTAGTTTTTGAAAGAAATATTCCAACACTATTTTTTCTTTATTGTATAAACCTATTATTGTTCTTTTTTAAAGCATGATTGAATCAATAATTCTAATAAAATTAACTGTTTAGGTGGCCTTGTTTCTTGTCTTTAAAACACTGTAATTGTTTCCATTTGTTTTAGTGTTTTAATTGTAGACACAAAAAGTGTAATAAAGAAACATAAATAAAACAAATCAACTCTAGTTTTAAAATAAAATATTTCATTGAATGTAGATTTTTTCTTTAAAAAAGTACATAAATTTATTAACATTCATTTGTAGACTGTTTTAAAATTATAGGTTAGAAGTATTCTAATAAAATTTATATATACTAGAAGTAAGAGAAAGTAAGTTCTTGAAATAGTAGAAAAAATGAAAATACTAGCAATAAGAAAAAATCTAGTAAAAATATCGTAAAAAGAAAAAGTTTATTAGTCTTACCATTTTCATTGGGCTGCAATTTGAAAAAATTCTAGATCTGCAAATTTCCACTGTCATCTGTTTGTCCTTAATCTCAAGAACGGTGTTAGATAGATGAAAGTCGAGACCAGATGTGAAATGATTAGGAGCTGGAGGCCCCTATTAACCATATATAAACTTCTGGTCTAGACTGGGAGTCACATGAATTCAGTTTAAAAAATTTTTCCTGACTGGCATAACTCTGTGATTATTAGAAAAAGTATGATGTACAGTGGCAAGACACTAATAATTTGATTCAGATCATATATTTTAGATTAAATAAATTAAGAATATGATTAAAAATTTCAGCCTGGCAATGTGATGATGTCACAATAAATAATTGCTCTTTTAAATATAACTTCTTCAGAGACAGAAATAATAGTAAATTCATCTGTCATTATCTTCACTCTAATGTAAAATGAACATAATATTGCCTTTAAATGATAGATCTACCTGTCTTTTTATGACATTTCTGTGTTGACACTAATAAGTACTAGGCAGACTCAACACTGACTAAAACTGAGAAATTATTACTCTGTGCCTTTCTTACTATAACAGCACTACTAACCTAGATCAGTAGTGTTATTATAGTAAGAAGCACAGTGATAATTTCTCAGTTTTTTTCAAATTGCTTCAATGACCAATAAATTATGAATTAATTGAAATACATTGTATCTTATAAAATAAAAAAAAACAATGTGGTATCAAATAAATTTATATAATTCTGTTTTCAAAGTAAACTGTAGATTAATGATGATTGCATTTTAAAAATTTATTCTTTTTAAATAAATAATTGTAACATTTACGTAATAATAAAAATAATTCTTTTCTAGACCAACTTCTTTGGCTTGGGAAGTTCGAAAGTCTTCTCCTGGAAAAGGAATTTTAAGACATGTTTTTCTAGATAAATATAGTTCTAAAGAAATCACAAAAAAAAGTAAAAGGTATAAAATTTTACTTTTATATATATTTTTAGAACTGTAATGAAATTTTTAAAATATTTATCTATAATAAAATATACAACAACCCAGTATACTTGTAGTGATAAACATTTTGCTAGAATTTTTTATTGGGCTGTAATAAGGTTAATTAATAATCAGATGCAATGCAATTTGGCTAGGTAGCTTAACATGAGTGTCTGGCTGCAGTATTTACAGTGGCTGTGACCGACTGTAGTGCTTTTAGTGAAATATGTAGAGTGAAATCTTACCCAATAAGATAAACTAATATGTGTTAATACTTATAAATAAGAAAAAAGCTGTTTTGTTTTATTCAAATCAAAATTTATGCTATAATAATCCAAATTTAAACTTCTATAATCAAGGTATATTTAATGATAGCCTTTACATAGCTCAAGAATTTGGCATATCATTTGGAGTGTTTATCAAACATATTATCTATGATTTTTTTTTGTTTTGTTTTATTTTCTGCAAATCAAATTCTGATTCCACATTGGTTCATTCTGTACTATAAGAAAAGACGATGATGATTCATGCTACATAACAAAGCACATTGTACAATTTGCTTTGAATAAATGTTATACATAAAATATTTGAGTATTTTTTTGATGTGGAACGCATTATCGTATTTTACATTCATTTATATGGGAAAAATTGTTTCGCTTAACGAGTGCTTTGCATTACAAGTACGATTCTGGAATGAATTATGCTCGTTAAATGAGGTTCCACCGCACTTAAAATATAAACTTGAAATAATTTAACACTTTTGGAGTGGCTTTATATGAGATATTAGAATGTTGAATCTGATCTAGTAAGCAATTCCTCCAGAAATTCAAATTTTGCCACTCTTAAAATTTTTTTTACCACTTTTGGTTTTATACAACCACACTGCAGTCTTCCATTCAGTGCAAACAGCCAATTTTTTCAGGATATCTCATATAGACAAATGTGTCACCTACTCCATTATTTTTATGGTTGATTAATATATAGTTAACTCTATTCTGTTGAATCTCACAAATATGTGAGAAATTTTTTTTTGCTGCTTTTGAAACTTTTTACTAGGTAACAGACACTTTTATCTTAGAATAATGTAAATATGAAATTTGCACTATAACTTTTACAAGAATGTGGAATTTTATTTTTTATTCATGATTGTGAAATTTAATCCTGTTTAATTAATATTTTTTCAGAATTACTTCAGTTAGAATTTTTTTTTTTTAAATTTATGTTTTAAAATATTTGGAAATCAGTCAGTGTAAAGTAAATGTTTGGTTATTTTCTTATTACTTTTTACAAATTACATTTAAATCATACCTATTTGATCAGAAAATTGAATTCAAAGGGTTTATGTTTAGAAACATACATGCATCAGACATTTTTTTAAACAAATGATAAATTGTAACTTAGCTTTTGTTTTGTTGATATCAATAAAAGTGAAATCTATAAAAGTTATAGAATGAAATTGAGGCAATATTCTGTATGCCATGTTGTGGGTTGCCCCATATATTTATCATGTCATGGAATATAGACATCCTGGCATATTTTGTGTAGTCAAAGTGGACTTGCAATTTTATGACTATAAAAAATGAAATTGAAAGTTTGTTTTATTATTTAAACTTACTATCAATAAATAAAAGGCATTTAAGATGATATTATGATATTCCATTGAAACAAATAGTTATTGTATATGCAGAATAGCATGGAAATAGAGCTATTGAAAATGACCTATTTTATGGAATTTTTATTGTGTTTCCAACTTGTTAGTTAACAAAAGTTAGGAAAAATTTTTAAATAATTAATATTTGTGAAATTCAAAAATAACTGGAGGAAATAGTTCCTAAAAACCTACACCTTTATAAGTCTAGCAAGAAATTTAATAAAAATTAAAAATGCTTTGGATTAGTTTCACCGATCTTTCTCAGTTACAAAATATAATGGAATGGAAAAATTTAAGAATGTAAATTCAAATTTAAAGAACAAGAATTTGAATTTGAGGACGTTTTCTAAAAATAAACACGTGAAAAAAAATTTAATTTTTATTAAATTCCTTGCTGGATTTATATAAGTGGAAATTTTTGTAAATAATTAATCTTATTCTCATAAAAAACATTTTAAAATTTACTTTCAAACTTGTGGTGTAATGTGCTATTTTCCTCACAAGTATTGATTTCCTTCCCTCTAGTTTACTTCTTGATTTTCAATTCTTTGATGTTGTATTGTTGGTATTTATGTTGAGCCTTTCTGTATGTCTAAAAGGAAAAATTATTTAATATATATATATATATATATTAGGGTAGCCTATCTTATCAAATATGAGAGCTAGATTTTATACATTTATAATTTATTTATTGTAAGTTGGCACCTACTGTAAACAAACTAAGACACATTCCCTTTGTTTATTGGCTTAAACCTATGTCTATCAATTAGAAACTGCATTGAATCTCATTTATCCACAGAAAATAGTTCCTTGTTATTTATAAAATCATTAATGAAATACTAATTACTTAGCAATAGTTATAAATGTAGTTATTTCATATTTGTTAAATTGTTATTTTTAATGAATATTTGCTCATTCTGAATCATTAAAAATAAACTTTTTCCAATCATGCACATTGTAATGTTTTGATTTTGTTTTCCATTCATTACAATAACTATTGTTTCAAACTTTGCATATTGTTGAATTACAAAAAATGGAAAACTTAAAATGGAAATGCAGTTAAACATTGACAAGGAAAACTGCTAAGGAGCTCAGATAAATGAATAGTGTTAAATTGTTTAATTCCTCAACTGAAACCAGGCGAATAAAAGTAATTCCTGTGTATCTTCTGGTTTATTGTTTTTATTCTGACATTCACCAAGAATTTTAGAAACACTAGGTATACTATATATGTGTACACATCTATTAGCTTTTCTTTTTGTAGCTTTATTTAATAAAAATTGAAAAAGTTTAATGCTAGTTATGTAAATAGTAATCTTAATGATTTACTTTATTTTTTAGCCCTTGTTTAAGATCGACTTCAGTTCAGACGGATTTTGACGTCGACAGATTGAATAAGTTGGAAGAGAAAACGAACTTCGAAGATATTGTTCTTGATTTCGGATTAGGAGAAAAACCATGTTTTGCCAACATGGATTTAATACATAACAATGAGATTATTGAAAATAAATTAATAAATTGTGAACAGAAAGATTCAATTTCAATTTTAGAGGGAAATTTAAATGAAAAGCCAGTTTCGCTTGAGGTTAAAGAATCTTTGTTTTCTTCTGTCACTGTAAAACCTATAAAAATTGAAAATGATATCTCAATTATTAATAAAGAAAATATAATTCAAAACAATTTGATATCCAAAAGTATTGAAAATGCTATTTTGGTTTGTGAATCTCCGGCATCAGTAGACGAAATGAGAAATAATTATCCCGATAACAAGAATTTCTTATTATTGTCTAAAGAGGATAATATGCTTAAAACTGATAGTAAACAGAATGTATTAAATACTGCTGAAAAATTTGAAAATATTCAGTCAAAAGGAAATGATAAAAAAGATCAACCTGTATCAAATACATTTCAAATAACTTCTGAAAGAACAGTGAACTCTGAAAAAACAATTTTTAATGTTTCTGTTTCTGAAAAGACAACTGGTAAGGTAACTAGAAATAAAAGAATATCTTCACCTCAAAGAATAGTACCTAATTCCATTGGAACTGTTCAAAAAAATATAAGAACTTCCCTAGCTAATATTGATAATAAAAGAAAGTCAGATACAATAGTTAAAAATAAAAAGTGTGAAACTGGAAAATTACAAGATACGAAAACTAAAATTGGAATTAATTCTTTGTTAGTTCAGTCTAACAAGAAAGCAGACATTTCGTCAGGTAACGCCGAACCTTCTGGAAAACTTCTAATCAAAAATGAAAATCTCAACAGTTCGTCATCGTCGCTTAGCAGTACTTCCAGTGGCAAAAGTTGGGCAGATAAAGTAAAAGGATCTCTCCAAGAGTTAAATATCCCAATAACAAAATTCACAGAAGAAAAAAATAAGGATGAAGGTAATTAACAGATAATTTATTAAATGTATAATTTTTATTTTTTTTAATATTAATATTTTATTTTAAAATAATTAGATGATTCTGATGGTTGGGAGACTGTTCGAATAAAAAACAGATCAAAAAATTTTTTGTCAAAGAAAGTTTCTCAACCTCTTCAAGCAAAATCCTATCCAGATATTCATAAGAAGCAAGCTAAGGAGCAATATGGCAGTATGCAATCACTGAAACCAACAAAAAGGTTTGTCAAAACATCAAATTCCATTACAGATGTAAATAATCAGCAAATGAAAAGAAAAGTGTCTAATATAAAAGGTGAGCCTTTAAAAAATAACAATAACTATTCAAAAAGTTATTGGAGGAAGGAAAATTTATTCACCAATACAAGAGATACTAATGGAAAGAAGACAGAAGGAAATAGACAAACTAATTCTTTGAAAACTGATAAAAATTCAAAATTTACACTATGCAGGAGTAAAACTGATATTAAAGAAAATTTTAAAACTTCAAGAGAAAAAACTAATCTTGCAATTAAACTTTCAAATACAAATGCTAAAAAATCAAAAAGTGAAATTTTACTTCTAAATGTTAATAAAAGTGAAGCATATGCTGAAAAAGATAAAAATAATTTGAAAAATTATTTACTTTCAATGCATGATAAAAAAGAAGAAAACATAAATGTTAAAAATGTTGAAGATGAAAAAATTCAAAATACTTCTGAAAAAAATGAAAGTAAAAGCTCCAAAACTTTCAGAAAAATTGAAATTGAAATATCTAGTGATTTGTCAGATTCTGATATTTCCAACAATTTTGATAACAACATTGACAGTTTAAATCTTAATCTGAGCCTTAATAAGACCAAAAACAATGGTGTGGTTGAACAAGATTCGGATGAAGATTTGCAAATAGGATATGAACAAGAAGTTAGTAAATAATTTCCTTTTCTAAACTACAAGGACTGGTTTTTTTCAAGCTCCAATGGTCCATAAAACAAAAACAAGTGTAAATAACAAAATGAATTTATTACCAAAAGTTAGGTACAAACATGGTTACTTTTCGACATAATCAGCATGAAGATTGAGGAATTTGTCATATCTGTGGACAGACTTTTCCATCCCTTTGTCATAGGATGTTGCCACCAGTGAATTGAGACGTCCTTAACAACGTTGTTTTGAAGATTATCATTAGTCTGAAATCTCTGCCTTGCTAGCCATGTTTTCAGTTCAGGAAAGAGGTGGAAGTCATCACCATCTTTAAACACCCAACATATAGCCCCAATTTAGCACTGAGTGACTTCCACCTTTTTCCTGAACAGGAAAAGTGGCTAGGACGGCAGAGGTTTGAGACTAAACACAATCTTCAAAAAAATGTTAGGGCCCATCTCAAGTTATTGGTGGCAACATTCTATGACAAGGGGATGGAAAAGCTCATCCACAGATATGACAAATGCCTCAATCTTCATGGTGATTATGTCGAAAAGTAACCATGTTTGTACCTAACTTTTGGTAATAAATTCATTTTGTTATTTACACTTATTTTCTTTTTATGGACCATTGGAGCTTAAAAAAACAGCCTACGTATAGGAACTTGATTAAATATGTAGTTTTTACTTTTAATACTAACGTGGTACATTACTCAGCCATCAGGTCAAAACTTGCATTGATTTCTATCATTCTCTGCTTACAAATGACCCCATGAGTTGATTTGGCAGACAGCAGTTTGATGAGAAACTCTGCTTTTGATCTGATGACAAAAAGTTGTTTGTCTCAAAAAATGCTTTATTGGCATTAAAGACTGACTTTGAACATGTATAATATGGTGATTGGTGTCCTATGGTGATTTTAACATACCTTGGTCTCTTTGCTGAGTTATTTTATTTACCTTTAAACATGCTGGTACATCTGAGTAAATTACAGGACAACAACAGTGTAAAAATTATTATGTTGTAATAAAAACAGATTGCATAATGCATCAATTAATAGGACTTTAGACAGTAGTTTTAGAACTAATAGTTAGGGGCATCTGGGATCCAGGAGAGTAGGTTCACTTTTTAAAAAGATATAATTTGGAAACTGATAAGAAAAATTGTCTTATTTAACACAGAGACTTCTGTGGTGTTGGAATTATATTTGAAACAAAAAAATTTGTTATGAAAATATCTGCTAGGATGGTAAATGACACTGCAACACTAGTGGATAACTCAAGATCTTTCAAAACTTTGTGATCACACATGGTACACTGTGGTTGTGCAACAACATGGTTTATATGCTCACATCTGAAACTGTCTACTGTGATTGAACATGTAATTTAGCAATTCAGCATGTTGCCAACAACAAAGGCCAGTATATTGAACATACTGTTGCATAACTACATCATGTGTATTGTGAGTTTGAGATATTTTGAGTTATCCACTAATGTGATGCATGTCGTTGTCCATCCTGGAGGACAGTTTTGTAACTAATTGTTTTTGTTTTAAATAAAATTCCATCATCACAACATTTCTATGTGAAATATGATGTCATTCAGCTGATTAGTTTCCAAGTTATTCTTTTGAAACATGAACTCTACAAACAAGTTGTATATGCCTTACATTAGTACAAAAATGAAGTTTAACTAGCATAAAACTTAACAAATATGTGAAAATTGCAAGAAAGGTATGTATGTGGGTTGTTTGCAAAGTATGTAGCAATTAGAAAATAATTTTATTTTTCACTGTAACCGCCTGCTAACTCAACGCACTTTTTCCAACAGTACTCCAAAGCAGTGATTCTCTCTTAATATGTTGATGAATCCTCAAAATAGCTATTTACCACAGCTATTACCTTGGAATTGGACAAAAATTACTCTCCCAAGCCATTCTTAAAGTTAGAAAACAAAACGAAAAAAAAATCAGTGTCAAATCTAGGAAATAGGACAAATGAGACAATAGTTCAAAATCCGGTTTATGAATTTTGGTCATGACAATCATAGAAATGTGCTGGTGCATTGGCCTAGTGGCAAATCACTTTTGTTTTTGTCAAATGAGACTGTTTGTCATTTGGCTGTTGCAACAGATTGGTACAGGGTGTGCACAAATTATTAGATGATTTTGTTACACTGTAGGTGAGTTGGAAATATCCAAGGATTGTAGAATTCTTGTCAGTCACACACTGATGGAGAAAATGGCTACATTACAAACTGACTATAGTTGGAGTGTCCTGGAATATGTGCAGAGTAAGTGTTTTGGCAGGTTAATGCATATTCCAATTAGTGAGCACAATACCAAAATTTTTCCCAATTTCAATACGATTCCTGATTCTGTCAAAAACTCCCAATTCCGATACAATTCTTTTGGATATTTTCTAAAGTTTATTTAAGTTTAGAAAAATTAGATTTACAGTATGAACATGGTCCATTTGTTAATTAATAAACGTTGAGCTTAAGAATGGAAAATGATTAAGAAAGTCGGAGTCATTTTTTGAAAGAAACTTGAACATTCTCCATTTATATGTGGATATGCATGCTTTATTGTGTACTACAAAATAACTTTGTAATCTTATTTCAGATATGGTTAATATTACCCTACTCTCAATGAAATTAAGGCTACTTTCCTTTTATTCAAAGAATTATCACATTGTGTCATCTAGGGCGACCATCTTTGGAAACAGCTTCATTGGTCATCACCAGGGAGGGGGAGGTAAATGAGAAGATGCACTTTATTTTTAGTATTTCTCGCAATTGGTATGTCCCATAAAAGCATTATTCCATTGTATTTAACACTAAATGAGGTTTGCAAATGATGCAACAAGTGGAGCAAATGCCATTATCACCAGTTAACCAAGTTTTGAATTTATTCACTCGAGCCAGGTTCTCCTAAATATACAATTGTGTAAACTTTTTTCTAGGAAAAGAAGAATCAAATGAATGACTAGACTGATTCATCTTGAAAAAATCCAGCAGCAAGTTGCTTAATATTCCCAGCAACATTTGGTGGTGCCACCTGCTATGATATCTTATTAAAAATTTTTATATTTTTAATTATCATCAAATGGCTAAAAGCTTAAGTTTGATTAAGGGTAGGGATAGTTTTATAAAAAAATTGTAAATGGTAATAATGAGTAAAATCATCATGAAGTCTGATCTTACTGGAGATACACACAAACCTCTTTATCTCCCCATCCCACTGACCTTTACCTACCAAAATTAAATAGCATCAATCCTCCTGATAAACAAACCTCCCTGCAAAATTTCAGAAATTTTCAACAAAAAGCATAGGAGTTATTAAGCTTGAAAGACAGTGAAAAAATCATGCCCCCACACCCATACCACATCCATACAAAATAAAACCCCTGAATTTTTTTGAATTACTCAAGTTTCAACATCCCCTGAGTCGAAAAATGTAAAAATCTTGGGGGTCATTTTTTGACTGATTGCCATACTTTCCCTCTGTTATATATAAGAAGAGCTGGGAAAGTAAAATCAATTTTTAAACTCAAAACAGCAGTAAATTTAGTGCAAACAATTATTTTTACTTAGAATGATGCAAATTGATTTGAAAATTTAATGTATTACAGCATCACCTGTTAATCATAACAAAAGCATTCATAGTTATAATGGAAAAGTCATTTTATCATTAAAAAACACTTCTATATAAGATAAAACTAATTTAGTTTGAACAACACCTTAAATATTTTTAGTAACACTTTATTTAAAAGAACATTTTCCACATCTTCTCATAGATCTGCATCAAGTTTAACAAGAAGATTTGTACTGTTTAAGAAGACAGTTTGAATCTTCTTGTTAAACATGATGCAGACCTATGAAAAGGGTAAAAAATGCTTGTTTAAATAAATTAGTGTTGCTGAAAAAGTATTTAAGGTGTTGTTCAAGCATTTTATCATCATTAGTAAACATACTAAATCTTAGAAACAACTTTATATAATATTTTTTCAATTAAAATACAATTTTCTTTATATTTTAAATATTAACACTGCCAACACTTTGTCAATATTTTGTCAACTGCCAGTCTCGATGCAAAATTGCCGCTCGAGTCGATCCAATAGTGGCTGGGTGGCAAACTAATGTCACCCTATCTCCCCAAAAATGGGACAGTTAGTACTGACCAAATGCAATCTCTCATTGCTCTGACTAGGCAGAAGAAAAGTCCACTGTGATGGACATCACCTCATATATCACTGTCACATACTCTCTGATTTGGTGACATGAATGTTTCCAATAAACTAATTTGTAACTGTTAATATCATGATTTAAAAAATTTTTAATATTTGACTGAAACAAATAAATAATTTTTTTGTTAAATGGGAAAGAATCATTTTAAGAATCAGAAATTGTGATGAGATTTGCTTGATTCCAATACCCAGAAAATGTCTGAATTTTTTTTATTCCCAATTCCAATTAATCATCTCATGTCTAATTCCAGTGGCAATTTGAATGTTGCAGTATTCCCACTTCAATCAGAAGGTGGTATGAACAATTTTGTGACAATATGCATCTGTCATCAAGGGAAAGATTGCATGGAGAGACCAAGAGTTACTTAAGAAACAGTTGACAGAGTGTATGAAAGTTTTATTTGTAGCCCTAGGAAATTTTTGCAGAGAGTCAGTTTTAGTAATGAGGTGACTTTTCATTTATCCGGCAAGGTTAATATACATAATATCAGAATATGCCAGAACCTCATACTGTCATTAAGATGGAATATGACAGCTCTAAAGTAAATGTTTTTTGTGCCATTTCCAGATGTGGTTGGCACATTCTTCTTTATGGAAGGTAGTGTGATGGGAAAGGAGTACCTGGACATTTGGGAAACCAGTTAATGCCACAACTTGTTGAGGAGGAACAAGAATCCACTTACCAACTAGATGGCACATTTACCAACCCCATGACATTGTAAATAATTCGGAATACCTAAACGGATACATGCTGG